TGTGGCTTTTTGATTAAGTCAAGCCTTGATCTTCTTTAATATATGTTGCAAAAAGTACGAAATTCATATCCAATAATACATTTTATTGTATGGTCTTATGAGGGAATTTAAATAATCTTTAATTATTTTATTTAAATAAGCTAAATTTAAACGAAAATTTCGAATGATAAGAAAAAATAACTGAGTGTGATCATAAGGAGCTTAAATTTGAGTCACTATTAGTGACAACTTGTTATAGAAGTATGTTCAAATGACATGAAGCAAACAGAATATAAAGACAAGAAACAATTGGATAATTGTAATAAGTCTTTTAAAAAAATTGATAGATTCAAATGTCCACCATATATTTACAAAAAAATCGGCATTTTTTGATCTACGAAATTATTTTTAAAATGTTTGTGTACCCAAGAAACACGAAATTGTTTGCTTGTCCTAAGATTCCTTAATATTTTTTACGAGTTTCTCTGTTGACATTCTATATTGTTCCTGTTCTATTAATATTCATACCGTTGATTCCACACATTAACATATAATTACTTAAATAGTAGTGTTTTGTATTTAAGCTAGTTTTTTGATAATACGTGGTATAGTTGTAAACATTTTTGTAGGTAATATAGAATAACGTTACTGTTTTACTAGATTGCCCAGCTCAAGAAACAAATTTTATTTGAGATTTACTTTTAGACTTTAGAACTTTTGTGTTCCAGAATTGTTTGTTACTAACGTTTTACTGCAATAGAGTGGTTTTGAGGGCGGTACGAGAGTGAACCGAGAGTGAATTTGTATTAATTAGCAGTTCCTGGAAGAATTGCAATCCTTTTTCATACTGCTTTAGTACAATATAGTTCAACTGGGACTTTATATTTTACGAAAAGGATGACGTGATGGAAAAGGAAAGTTCGACGAGCTTGTTTATTGCTACTTTTAACATTAAAAAATTTAATGTCTGTTACAGCCGTTAAAGAAATGGAAAGGCTGACTATAGATAATTTTGGAATCAGCGATGTCCAATGGCCCGACTCAGGAAAAATTAAAATCAACAATAAAACCATATATTATTCAGAAAGTCAAGACGGTTCACATATATATGGTGTCGGAATAATATTAAACAAAAACATTGATGAAGCTGTAATAAATTTTACTCCATACTCCAACAGAATTATACTCTTACAATTAAACCAGCTTAAAGATATATTAAAAAGCAAAAATATTGACAGTCGTGATCTGAAAATTGTATCTAATTTATATTGGAATCAAACTGCCAAGGTAAGAGTTGACAGCCAGTACACCGAAAATATCAAAATACTGAGAGGAGTCCGCCAAGGTTGCGTGCTGTCCCCACTACTTTTCAATGTCTACAGTGAAGCGGTATTTCAAGAAGCACTCTCAGACTCAATAGAAGGTATATCTATCAATGGAGAAGTTTTGAATAACTTAAGTTTTGCAGACGATACAATAATAATTACGGATAACAACAATGATTTACAGAACGTAATGCAACGCCTTAATGAACGCTGTCATGAGTACGGACTGATGATAAATTAAAAGAAACTAAATGCACGATCATGACTAAATCTGCACATGCAAATATCCAATTGACTATTGAAAATACTGCAATTAAGAGTGTTAATAACTATAAATACTTAGGAACATGGATAACATCAGATGTAGAGCAAACCAAAGAAATTAAGACACGTATTGAAATAGCACTTACATCATTTATTAAACTTAAAAGGTTTCTTTGTTGTCGGGATATAAGGTTAGAACTACGCCTGAGAATGCTTCGATATTACGTGTTCTCTACTCTTCTTAATGGTTTGGAAGCTTGGACACTAAAACAAGTTCATCTGAATAAGTTGGCCGCCTTTGAATTTTGGTGTTACAGAAAAATCCTACGAATATCATGGATTCAAAGAATGTCAAACATGGAAGTAACTAGAAGGATAAGAAGTGAGGCGGAAATAATATTAACTATTAAAAAAATCCACAAGGAAAACAATTCCTGTATCTGGCTGTATACCACATATCACAAAAAAGAGGTTAGTCTTCGTAAGTGGGTATATTTATTTAAAACCCCTTAAAAGGGCTACATCAAAAAAACAAACGTTTTTGGACTAAACAGTCCATCATCAGGTTTAAAATTGCCTAAAATAAGTATAAACCATTTAGTTAAAACAAACGTGGTTATGAAATTTTGACTCTGGTTAAAAAGCAAAAATGGTTATACTTACTAGGTTAAAATTCCTGAGCCACCAAAATACATGGGTAAAAACCATTTAAATTACACATAGTTATAAAAGATTATACATCTAGTTCTTAAAAAACTGTGATGTTCAGTATTAAATTAAATATGACTTCAAGTAACATACATTGTTGAATTGAGTTCCAGAGCCGGGGAGTAAACCTCTACGCACGGAGAACAGCTGGAAACTGATTGACAATATACCTATGAACGGTGTCAAAAACAAAATGTCAATGTAACATGGAACCATATTAGTTATACCTAGTATTACTACAGCCAAAAGATTCAAAAATTATTTTGATGATTTTAAAAAAATAATAACAGCAATCTAGGTGTTGGGATTTAAAATTTGGGTTATAATCGATGTGAAATCACCGATGGTGTTAAAGTCATGTTTAATAGGATGTCCTGTGTATTAGGCAACCTATGTTACTTTTTGTCGTATGGAATGTGGTCTAAAAGTGTATTTTATGTTAGATTACCTTATATATATAACATAAAAGGATAATTTATATATATATATATATATATATAAATTATCCTTTTATGTTTTTCCTGTTCTAGATGTGATAAACATAAAAGAAGACTACAAACAGTTTCTGTAAAAAATATGGACTAAAAATAAATATAAAAAGACCAAATACATGATAATAACAAAGAAAAGAAATGTACCAACAAACATACATTTGGAAAATGTACCGATAGAAAGGGTTGATAAATACAAATACCTAGGAACCTGGATTTCAGACAATAATAATCAAACAACCGAAATAAGAGCTAGGATAGAAATAGCAAGAAATGCGTTTGTAAAAATGAAAATAATTCTCTGCAACAAAGATCTTAGATAAGAATTATAAACTCAGATGCTACGTGTTTTCGATACTGCAATATGGACTTGAAAGCTGGACAATGAAGCAAGAACACATAAATAAGTTGCAGTCCTTTGAATTGTGGTGTTACAGGAGTATGCTTAGAATAGCATGGACACAGAAGACAACTAACACGGAAGTATTGCGAGACATGGGTAAAGAATGCAAAATAATAAACACAATAAAAATAAGAAAGTTACAATATCTGGGACACGTAATGAGGGGACAGCGATATGAACTGCTAAGGCTGATAATACAGTGAAAGATAAGAGGAGGAAGGAGTATGGGAATAAAGATAGTGTCATGGTTGAATAATTTAAGGGACTGGTTTAAATGCAGTTCTATAGAATTCTTCAGGGCAGCAGTAAATAGATTAAAGATAGTGATCATGATATCCAACCTCCGATTGGGAGACCGCACTTAAAGAAGAAGACAGCTGAAGACCAAACGACAAGAACAAACAATTCTGATAACACGGCATATAAACCCGAAAACAATGTTGCTTTAAAAATTATTATCTGAGTACTATAATTAAATTGTCGAAAGAAAATGAAATAAAGTATTTTTGAAGTGTGTATATTTTAGGCAATTCCTAGCTGAGCGCTTTCGGCTTTACAAAGCCATCATCAGAGCTATGCTACAATAAAATGTTCTTATAAGTACTAATTGGTGAAGATTATAATTTTTAACTTACGTCAATTTTTTAAATACCACTACAAAGAAGAGATCTCATTTCCTTAAATTTCAAAATTATGATTTTTTTTATAGTTGTTGGAATTCTTAGAAACATATAAAAAACATATAAAAAGCGGACACTGGACTTCACAAACACGTCAAAAAATTGAAAAAATTGTTTGTCATGGTACGTCATGGTAAAAAAAAATAAATAAATAAAAAAAAATTAAAAAAAAAAAAAATTTCAATTTTTTTTCAATTTTTTTCAATTTTTTTTCAATTTTTTTTAAATTTTTTTCAATTTTTTTTTTCAATTTTCAAAAAAAAAAAATTTCAAAAAAAAAAAAAATTTTATTAATTAAAAACTAATTAAAAAATTGACCATAGCTCTGATGATGGCTTTGTAAAGCCGAAAGCGCTCAGCTAGAAATTGCCTAAAATATACACACTTCAAAAATACTTTATTGCATTTTCTTTTGACTTGTCATAAGTGTGTACAAAAAAATATCAGTCTTTTGATTTATAATTAAATTAACTAAAATATGTAAAATTTGTAGTATACCAAAAAAACCAGGATCAATAAAAAGTAAAAAAGCATAACAATATTTGTGTTTCTAAAACTATTAGGCTGTGAGTACATTACTTACATTTTTTGATGTTTTTTGATCAAACGACTAAACAGTGTAAATGACATTTAAATATCAGGGTACGAAAATGTGGTGGATATGTATATTTGCTATATATTATGAACGATATGCGAATACTGTGATATTTGTACATTTCGTTGTTTCTTTATTACTGTAAGAGTATTTTATAAATTTTATGTTCTATTTTTGATAATAACGAATATTAATATTTATATTATCGTGCGATTAAAATTGTCTTTATCTGTTCTTCATGTGTTTTGTTTGTATGGGGCATTAGATTACTAAATTAGTTAGTTTTATGTGACACATATTTGGTGTACTTTACAAGCACAAACATACATATTTGTACATGTCCAATCCGTGAAATTATATTTATGATGGTTACAATATACGGTATATATATATATATATATATATATATATATATATATATATATATATATATATATATATATATATATATATATGGTATATTTCGAATTGTTTGCTAGCAGGCTAAAACTAACAGTAATTTTTATCAACTGTTTGATATAAAATATGTGACATTTAGAATTTTTTATGTTACAGGTAATTTTATTCACAACCTTTCTATAGGTTGATTTTTCCTCTTTGGAAAAAAGAATGTGTTATTCATTACCGCATTTATTGTCACTGCTAATTCTAAAATACCATCTTCAGTATCATTTCTTTCAAAGCTTGATCCTTCACATGTCTGTATACTGTCTTTATACATGTCTATTCTTCTTTTTCTTCTAGTTCCATGACCGTTATCGATCGTTGGAAATAATGTTGGCTACCATATTCGCTATCGTGACTTTATTGACAGCAGCTCTAAATAGCGATGTAGTTGATTTTCCATACCATTGCCTTAGATTTTTCAGCCATGATGTTCTTCTTCTACCAGGACCCCGATCAACTTGGATCTTTCTCTGAATGATCAAATGTAAAAGCTAATATTTTTTAGTGTGTCTCATAATGTGACAGAAGTATTTCAGCTTGTGTTTCTTTATTATATTGACCAGTTGTTTTGTTTGGTTCAGCCGTCTTAGGACCTCCTCATTTCTAACTCTGTCGACCCAGCTTATTTTCAGTAGTCGTCTGTATACCCACATCTCAAAGGCTGTCAAGCGTTTAAGAATAGCCTCAGTTAGAGTCCACTCTTCTAACGCTTTATTTGTCTTTTAATTTGTGCGGTTGGATCCTAGCTCTCATTGATATTACTGCCGAGATACACGAGTTTCTCTACTCTGTCCAATGTGGCATCTCCGACTTTTAAGCCTTCCTTAAATATTTCCTCCGAATATAAGTTAAAAAGTAAAGGCGACAATATACAGCCTTGTCTCATTCCACTTTTTATATTTATTTCATCCGACAGTTCTTGTTCAACTTTTATTTTTGCCACTTGATGCCAGTATAGATTTGTAATTATTCGTAGATCTTTATCGTCCAATCCAGCTGTTTCCAATATTTCTAGCATTTTGTAATGTTGAACTTTGTCAAAAGCCTTCTCAAAATCAATTGCACAAATGTACACATTTTAATTTATATCTCTGCATCTCTGTACTAGCACCTGTATACTAAAGAAGGCTTCTCTTGTAAACAAGCCACTGCTAAACCCAAATTGAGTATTGCTAATTCTGTCCTATAACAGCGTGTAAATTCTGCTGAGTATTACTCGCAGAAAGATCTTCAAAACGTGACTCATTAGACTTATTGTCCGATAATCACCGCATGTCTTTGGACAATGTTTCTTAGGTATTGTGACAAATGTCGACTTTAACCAATCAGTTGGTAATATCCCAGTGTTATAAATTCTGTTAAAGAGATTACACATAGCTTTAATTCCACTTACTTTATCGGGGCCAAGTGCTTTTCCATTTTTTGCCGTTTGTATAGAATGTGTAACCTCACATTCTGTTATAGATGGACCTGATAGAGCAATCGGTTTATAGTGTTCTACTCTCTTATCTTCAAATAATTCAGAAATGTAGTTTTCCCATTCTTTTAACTGTTCATTGATGTCTAATATTCTGTGTACGTTTCTGTCTTCTAAACTTTGGGATACTTGTTTCCGTTTGTTTCTAGCGACCTCTTTTAATTTCTTGTACAGATGAAATGTATCGTGTTTCTTTTCATATTGTTAAATTTCAATACATTTTTTACTATAAAATTGTATTTTCGTGTGTCTTATCTTCTGCCTTATTTGTGCGTGGATCCTCTTCGTTTTTATTTTTATTTCTGACTTCTCTTCTTTGATCCATAAGTCTCAGTATTTCTGCTGTCATACACATTTGTTTTTTTTCTTGCTGTTAGCGTACTCAATTTTGTTTTTTGAACAGTCTTTAAGATGTCTTTAATTCTCGTCCAGTTTTCCTCAGTACTTTCCTCTTTGCTTGATATTAACTTCATTTTTTGTTCTAATATACTAGTTTTTTCTTGTTTTACAGTATCATTTAACATCTTTTCCCTATCCATAGAAACTGTTTGCTTATTCGTCCTTGCAACTCTTTTTAATCTCAGTCTTATTTTTCCTACTAAAATATTGTGATCTGTATTTCTGTATCTTTTATTCATACATATGAAGTCTATTTGGTTACGAACAACTCATTCAGGTATATCTGCCGGTGATTTCCAGGGGTAAAGACGACGTTTTGGAAGTTTGAAAATTGTTTTTGTTATTACTAATTGCTTTTCTACGCAAAAAGATGCCAACATGTCTCCTCTTTAATTTCATATTCCCAGACCATATTTTCCTATGATATCTTCCTGTTCACCTTCACCAATCTTTGTATTAAAATTTCCCATGATAATATTGAGATCGTGTTTCTTTGTAGATGCTAATTCTTTTTCTAAATCATGATAGAATTTTTTAATTTCTTCTTGTTCATATTCTTGTGTGGGTGCATATACTTGTAATATGTTCACATTGATTGTTGTTGATTGTATTTGTATCATCAGTATCCTGTCTGAGAATAGGACGACGTATTTATATCTTTATCTGTTTCCATCGACACAATAATTATTGCTACACCATTTTTGTGTTTTGAGCTGTGTTCTCCTGAATAGTATACAATGTGATCATCTACAGTTACTTTTCCAGACATTGGCCATCTCATTTCACTTATTCCAAGGATACTTATATTTAGACGCTTCAAGAATATGTCCAGTTCTTCTTAATTGCTTTAAACAAGTTATTATACCGGTTTTAAAAATTAATTACATGCGACTTGAGAAAAAATTAATTAAATATCTATTAACAAAAATATTTTTTAAAAATTTATTTCAAATCCTTTATAAAAGGTATATAATAAAATGCTCAAACGGGCTATCACAATTACATTACAAAACGTTTTCGGATTGTTAAATCCATCATCAGTGTAAACGAGGTATACATGCTATGAGCCACCAAAATATATGGGTCAAAACCCTTTAAAAGTTATAAATTTACAGTTGTTTTACATTATATATGGTTACAGATTAGGATGTTTAAGTTACCGTTGGAATTGGTAACATGGCTACATAGGTAAAATGGACCTGCGATAAAGTGTGTTCGAGAACCTGTTGATAAGAACCTGTTGATAACAACAGGTTCTCGATGACACTTCGTCTCAGGACCGTTTTACCTATGTAGGGTCATACATTGCCATGTTACCAATTCCAACGGTAACTTAAACATCCTAATCTGTAACCATATATAATGTAAAACAACTATAAATTTATATCATTTAAAGGATTTTGACCCATATATTTTGGTATTGTTCTGAAGCTATTTTCTTGTGGCATTGTAAATTAATTACTATTTATAACTGGGAATAAGCCACATTAAAGATAAAAATACATTTATTGACGTTTCAATTTCCAATTCGGAAATCGTTCTCAAAATACTTATTGTATTTTGAGAACGATTTCCGAATTGGAAATTGAAACGTCAATAAATGTATTTTTATCTTTAATGTGGCTTATTCCCAGTTATAAATAGTAATATATTTTGGTGGCTCATAGCATGTATACCTCGTTTACACTGATGATGGATTTAACAATCCGAAAACGTTTTGTAATGTAATTGTGGTAGCCCGTTTGGGAATTTTATTATATACCTTTTATAAAGGATATGAAATAAATTTTTTGTGTTATATGGTATACAGCCAGCTACAGGAACTTAGTTTCTAGTGGATTTTTAAAAATATTTTTATTCAGGAAAACAAAAAAAGAGAACGGAAATGAATACTGTAGAATTCGCAGACTCATGTTATGCATAATTTCACGGATCTATTTTGATGTTATCTGTGTGCCACCAAAAACGTCCTGTTTATAAAATATGACATTTAAAAATTGTGCCACAAAATCTTGTATGTTAATGTTAAATGTATTTTTTTGTTTTATTGTTTAAGATTTGTAGTAGCATTAAAATCTGTAGAATAATACAAGTTGTTTACATCATCATCCTCAATATTTAAGTGTTTAATTTGGTTCCTAACTTAACTAAAGACTGCAGATCTTATTTTTTAATATTATAGATTGCTCATTGTTAATTACTCTAATTTATATTATACTCTTAAAGGCTACTCTTTTTTTATACATTTTATTTTCTTCGACGATATATTTTTATTGGTAAACGCGGAATATGGGTGCTTGACCTTTTATACTTAAAATGTACGATTATTGAATCTGGGTTTACTGATTTTAATGCTACTGCAGTTATTTAGGTCTTATTCAAACTATTGTTAACAATTTATTACTGAAAAGATTTTAAACCTTTCTTTTATATTTATGTATATTTATTTCATTTTGTTTAGTTCGTAATGCATGTACAAAGATATAGCTACTTAATAATTTAATTTTGTTATAATCTCTATTTAATTTTTCTAAGTTAAGATTCTGCGAATCTGTTTTTATGATTTTCTGTTATACTTAAAAAAATAAATAATTTCAGTTAAACTTTTTTTTTATATCTTCCTTTAATTTTGCACCCAAACCGTAGGATTTACGCAAGATTATAAACAACTTTCCTATTATGATAAAACTTATTCAATTATCTTCATTTTCCGAATGTAAGGCAGGTAACAAACGGGAGTAAAATACGCCGCGAGGGATACGCAGCGTATTTGGTTAACATACTAGACGAGCGTTTTATTTCACGCCTGTTGGCGGAAAGAGTACAGTCATAGTCGGTAATAAAATGGATTTACTTCAAGTCGGATGTGTTGCTGCACTTTGTTTAGTGTTAAAAAAAACGAAAAAACAAAAAAAGAATTAGTCGTTGTTGGGTTCATCCTGTTATTAATAGCAGACTTCAGACAGGACAATTTCATTTAAATTTTTGCGAACACAGACAGTGTCCCGAAAATTTTTTCTCATACTACCCCATGTCTGTAAAAAGTTTTGATGAACTGCTGAAGCTAGTAGAAATTAAAATAACCAAGACTACAACCAACATGTTGTAAAAGTGGGCAGAAAATCTTGCCGAAGAAGCGCGAGTCGCCGATGAACATCAAAACATGAGACAATTATATAATATCACTAAACAACTAGCCAATAAAATATATACTACCAACCAACCAATTGTAAAAAGTGCTACAGGTGAAGATATTACAACGCC